AACGAGATTTGTGTGCCCAAATTTTATAATTTGACATTTTTTTGGGTCTTTCAATAATCTGATAATAAATATTTGTACTCTTTTTAGGTTGAAATATAAAAGTGTGTTTATTCTTAAGACTTAATTTTAGACGAAATTTTGAAATTAAATTTCTATAACTACTAATTATATGGGTTTATATGAAATGCACATCATAATGAATAATTACTAAAATTCGTTTTAAATTGAGTTCTCAAAGATTGCTTTTAACCATTATTATCCAATGTGAAATTGTAAACCTTTTTTTAATGGAGAAATTGAAAACCATTAATTCTTTGCCTTACCGTTCGTTCATTTTCTTTTTTCATTTTTCATTTTTCATTTTTTTATGAATAGTAGTTCTTTGATTTTTATTTGTTTCGTTATCTTTTATTAATATTTTTTTGGTCTTCGTTTTTTTTTATTATTTATAATTATCTAAGAAAAAGGTATTTATCAATCATGCTCCTGTAAATTTTTTTTTTAAGTAATTTGTAATTATTTATAAAGTTAATTAAAAAAAAATTTGTAAAATTTAAACGTATAACTTACTAAAAATAAATAATTCTAACTCAAGATTTAATACTACCGAACTGAAGCAGATCGTTCATGCTCCGCAAATTTAAAAATTCCTTATGCTAAAACTACAGCTTATCTCGATAAACTCACCTTAGTTTCAGACCATAAAATATCCTTGAATAAAACTGTTTTTCTTTGCAAGAGAGGGGTCCACAAACAAAGGTGGCAACCAAAAAAGAAAAATATAAAAAAGCCTAACTGGTTTGACCTTTTAACTTAACGGTCAACAAAAAACACCGTTAGCTTAGGTTGGAAAGAGGGACGACATTAGCATGGTTTTGCATTGTAGATGGTCGACAGGTAGAGTTAATTAATAGTAGAAGGATGACATGAAACCAATCCATAGTAGAAGGTTTAAAATGTATTATTTTTGATAGTAGAGGGACGATAGATGGCCTTAACCCCATAAATAATTTTGAACTCCTAGACATATAATTGTTACTTGATTTAATATTTATAAATACATTATTTTTATATTTATTGTTTATTTATTTTTTATAATTCAAATATAATATTTATCTAAATAAATAAAATACTTATAAATACTAAATCCACCCAAAACTAATGCTCTCCCCTATTGCCAATTAGACATTCCCAGGCTCACTTGCTCCCAAAGAACAGCAGTTCTCACCGTTATTCCTTTATAGTCTTTTTTTTTTTATTATTATTATTTTAGTTGCACAATAACATAATTATTTCTCATCTTTTATTTTACTTCATTCGTATATCATGCAATTTAAATTTAAAATTTTTTACTTTCAGTTAAAAAAAAAAAAAGTTGAATTATTTAAAAAGTTTGCTTTCCTCTGTTGTTTTAAACATACGTGATTTGGAATTGGAAGGACTGATATCATACTCATAAATCAAACCATCAACTCTCTAATATCCTTTCCCTCCATTTCTACCGTAGTACTCCAAACCAAAATCACAAACCGTTGAAATGAAGCGGCCCCCACAATAACCTGGACCCATGTAATGATTCAATGGTCCTTGATCAAACTTGACCGTCGATCAAGCTCTGATCCAACCGCATGTGGATTGACTCCCGCTGACAGGTCATGTGGCCTTTAAGCTCTGCTTCCCTCTGTGTCCCATTGCATACAGAACAGAGCTCCACTCTGCCCCGTGCCCAAAAACAAAAACCACAATGCACCCCTAAAGATCCTACCTTTATAGATCTTTTCTTCCTTAGAATTCACCTGAACAAGCATATTTTTGTTCTAAGAGGGTTTTGATTATACAGGGGAAGAAGAATGAGGGATACCCATCTTCTTGTTTGTCTCATTGTCTTGGTTTTGGTGCTTGTTCATGGTGTTCATGGCGAGAACGCGTATAGATTTTTCACTTGGAAAGTCACGTATGGTGATATTTACCCTCTTGGAGTTAAGCAACAGGTACTGAATAATGCTGCTACTTTTGCTTTCTCGGTTTGCTTGTTTGGCTAGATTTTTTTAGTTCGTTCTCTTTTGGGTTTTGGATTGAATGTTGGGAAATTTGGTGCAGGGAATCTTGATTAATGGGCAGTTTCCAGGTCCCCAGATCGATGCCGTTACAAATGATAACTTGATAATCAGTGTTTATAACTACTTGAGAGAACCCTTCCTTATCTCCTGGTAATTTTCTTCAATCTTGGTGCAGTTCAGAATTTCTGTTTCACTGCTAAAAAAAAGTCCTGGAAAATGGAAGAAACCTAAAAATGTTAGGATTATATTTCACCATAAACGGAAACAGCATTGTTTTTGGGGTTTCATACTGGTAGGTGCCAAAGGGTTTCCATGTTTAATAGATCTTTGGATTGGTTCTTGAAAGAATTCTTTATTTTAGTAGAAATGCAGAATCCCATAACAGTGTCCTTTTCTAATAGGAATATTTTTTTGTACCTAGAGATTAGGATTGAATCTAGACTTGTGAATAAGATCACAGGTAACTCTACAACTAAACCACATGATTAGTGGTTCTAATAGGAATATTAAATTAAAGTGAAAGAGGAGGCAGAAAGGCATCTCTACGGTTCCCATTTCAGCTACTTTTGGATATATGTTCATCATTTTGGCCCACATCTCATGCACAATGATTATAAAAGGCTCTGACATTTTTTTCTATTTCTTAAAATCCCATTTCTTAAAGACTCATTAGATGGCTGCATTGAATGCTTTATTAAGATAATCCTTTTTGTGCAGCTGCCTTACCATGGTAGATATCATTATTGGTTAATGCTCATTCACCTGCTTCATATCTAAGTCAATAAAAAAATAAATACAAATTAATGATACCTGTTTAGGTTATATGTGCTGTTAAATCTCAGCCTCCTTTCCCAGTGTATGGGTCATCTACCTTCCATTTTCATTCAATCTCTCATTGATTTCAGTTTTACGGGCATGTGCATTTCTATCCATTGCTCATATATAATAATATCCGTGTTCAAGAGTTTTAAGTGACAGCTAGGAGCCAGAAATGGCCAGTTGTTTGCTGTGGAACTGGCAGGGTTTGTCCAAAAATAGTCTTCCCATCATTCTCTTAATGGAAATATTAATGAAAGCTATGAAATTTAAACATGGGAGAAAAAGCGACATGCTGAGACTTAGGGCTTTACGTGGGAGAGCCATTATGTTCAAGGAAGTGCAGAATTTGCTTTTCATTTTTATTGAGAGAAAAAAGAAGGAAAAGAGCGATTGTGTTTGAACATTCAATTATAACGGAAAACAGATTTATCGTAAGATTAAGTTTCAATGTATTCTTTTGTTCATGTCATTTGAGCTTAAGAGTCCACCGTGATCCATTTAGGCCAAACACCCATAGGATGCTGCCTTTTATGTGAAATTTGCACATCATGGCCTGTGTTGTGTTGTGCAGGAATGGCATACAGCATAGAAAGAATTCCTGGCAAGATGGAGTATATGGCACCACCTGTCCAATCCCACCAGGGAAAAACTTTACATATGTTCTCCAATTGAAGGATCAAATTGGTAGCTATTTCTACTTTCCTTCGCTAGCATTCCATAGGGCTGCTGGAGGATTTGGCAGCATCAGAATATGGAGCCGACCTCTGGTTCCTGTACCTTTCCCTCCACCTGCTGGGGATTTTACCTTACTTGTTGGGGACTGGTATAAGAGAAATCACTATGTAAGCACTCTGTACTGTATCTTCAAAGGACATTTTTATTGGCACTATCACCTTAATCAATGTATTCATTGCTTTTATAATTTTGTTCCCAATTTTGTTCCACAAAATACTTACTAGTGTTATTACTGTTTCTTTAGGTGTTGAGACGAACCCTGGAAAGTGGCCATAATCTTCCTTTCCCTGATGGACTTCTTATCAATGGTCGAGGGTGGAACGGCAACACCTTCACAGTTGATCCGGGTAGATATTTATGTGCTCCCAATTACCTTATCTCCCACTGAATTGCACTCACTATTCACCCATATTGCGCGCAATAGGCTGGCTATAGAGTCCATAACATAGTTTTAGATCAGGTGCAACATTTCTGTATATAATGAGACTTTTAGTAACATAATATGTATTTGTTATTTTGTTTAATTGTAATCAGGTAAGACATACAGGTTCAGGATATCAAATGTGGGCCTTACAACTTCCATCAACTTCAGAATCCAGGGGCATAAGATGAAACTGGTAGAAGTTGAGGGTTCACATACACTACAAAATATCTACACTTCCCTTGACATCCATCTTGGGCAGTCATATTCTGTCTTGGTCACGGCTGATCAGGCTCCTCAGGATTACTATGTTGTAGTCTCTACACGCTTCACTATTCATGTGCTCACCACAACTGCCGTTCTTCACTACAGTAATTCACATAGGGGAGTTTCTGGTCCAGTCCCTCCTGGTCCTACAACTAACGTTGCTTCATCACTCTACCAAGCAAAAACCATACGGTACTTTGATTTCAATTCTTTTAGAAGCTAATCACTCTCAAATCTCAATGCCATCTGAACATCATGGTCTTACTAGAATCATGTTTGCAGGCTTTAATGTTTGGTTACATATTCTTGATTTTTCTAGCAAAGTCCTTGTTTTACATTATTCTGTATCAGTTGGAATCTGACAGCTAGTGGACCAAGGCCTAATCCCCAAGGCTCATACCATTATGGAATGATCAAGCCCAGCCGCACTATAATGCTTGCAAACTCTGCTCCTTACATCAATGGCAAGCAGAGATATGCTGTCAATAGTGTCTCATATGTTCAACCGGACACCCCATTGAAACTAGCAGACTACTTCAAGATTCCTGGAGTTTTCAATCCCGGAAGCATGCCTACTAGCCCCACTTGGGGAAATGCATATCTCCAGACCTCTGTCATGGCTTCTAACTTCCGTGAATTTCTTGAGATTGTTTTCCAAAACTGGGAGGACACTGTGCAGTCATGGCATATTGATGGTTATTCCTTCTGGGTTGTAGGGTAGGTTTTCTTTTCAGTTGCAAGATCTGCCATGCATTTGGATTTGGTTTTGGTTTATATCCATCTAAAACATTGACAATTTATGGGATTACTAGGATGGATGGGGGGCAATGGACTCCTGCAACTAGATCAGACTACAATCTAAGGGACACAGTTGCTCGCAGCACTACTCAGGTATGAAAATAAAATGGCAAAATGCTGTCCTTCCATTAGTTAATGTGCTGCAAATCCTTCAAACTTCAGAATTGTATAACCAAATTGTGTGGATTAATGTAGGTGTATCCAAGGTCATGGACTGCTATCTACATGGCTCTGGACAATGTAGGAATGTGGAATGTTAGGTCCGAGAACTGGGCTAGGCAGTACTTGGGCCAGCAATTTTATCTCAGGGTTTATACCTCTTCCAATTCTTTGAGAGATGAATCTTTCATCCCAAAGAATGCACTTCTCTGTGGCCGTGCAAGAGGTCACCATACCAGGTCCCTTTGAATCACCTAAGAGAAGTTCTGTGACGAGAGGGTGACATATTAGTTGCGATTCTAGGTTCCGGAAAATTATTCAAGAGCTCTACTTGAGCTTAATTGAAGTCGTCATTAACTCTTTTTTTTTTTTTTTTTTTTTTCCGACTCTTGTCCCTGCCAGTTCTTTGTCATCCTGTTTAATTGTCATCCCGTTTGATGTAGTACAGTTGTATG